TGAGTTGTGATTGATTTAGTCATCTCTGGGACTGTGGCATTTTTGAAACTCAGTGATTCATGCAGATCTATCAGCTGTTTTGTTGTTCACTCCCGCGTATCTTGTGTGTTTATTAATATACGCAGTATTGAAGCATTAATAATTCTATTTTTCCAGGTGACTCTTCAATACACTCAATCGATCGTTCCTATCGATTGAATCGAATTTCGCTCAGGAAATTGAACGTAACTGAGGAACAATCATTCGGCAGCAACAATGTCAAGTAGGTTACAGTTGAATTGTGGAAATTCTCTGTTCATTTTTAGAGATTTTGCCACCAGTAATTGCAAAAAATAATACTGGTAATGAGAAAGGGTTGCGTATGTGTCGTATTCCACAGTTAAGGAAATATGTCGATAGTTGTTCGCAATTCTATGATCATGATTGCTTGGTTGTAGCAGTTGACTGTCAGCAAATCTGGACATTTCCAAAATTTGGTAGCTTTTATTGGCTTGTTTAAAAAGATGTAAGCCTTGTATTTCGGGTTCTACGTAGGAATATCTCTGGTGAATTTATTAATAAATTTGAGCATATTCTCAGTCACATTTATAATGATTTGTTCGTCTATATATCCGTCGGTTTGCATCTAAATTTTTGTACACTTTTCAGCAACAACAACGATACACGGTGGATGTGAGGGTCCAGATGCGATGTACGTAAAATTGATTAGCAGTGATGGACACGAGTTCATCATCAAAAAGGATCTGGCTTTAACATCGGGTACAATCAAGGCAATGCTCTCTGGACCGGGCACTTATGCTGAAAATGAATCGAACGAAGTGAATTTCAGGGAAATACCGTAAGTTTTGTGCAATATTTTCAGACCATTCCTTGATATTTCTTTAAAAGAAAGGGAATTTTTATAATCTTGTACCGTAGTAGAAGATATATGTAAGTTCTAATATGCCAGCAAATGGATCGTGAAACATAACGTAGTATTCTTACAACATTTTGTTCATAATCATAACACACAAGCACGTTTCGGTGTGCAAAGCATGTTTTGTTGATGATGAGTGAGCGTATTTCAAAATATATTTTGTGTTTTCTTATTTGATGGAATTACATTCAATTTCAGGTCGCATGTCCTACAGAAAGTATGTCAGTACTTCACATATAAAGTACGATATACGAATAGCTCCACAGAAATTCCAGAATTTGTGATCGCACCCGAAGTGGCTCTTGAGTTATTGATGGCTGCGAATTTTTTGGATTGTTAAATTTCGTTATCTATTTTTATTATTATCATTCGTTAATTATATTATTATTACTGCTGAATCTTGGATTTTGCTCGATTTTGCCGTTGATTTATTACGTTATTGTGTCAAATTGGAATCAGCAAAATGAATTTGGTCAACTTAAAAAAGGCCGTCATATAATCTCTGAATGAATAACTGAATTTGTTTTCATTCTTTTTTAGTTTGCATGATTTTATCACATTGCAGTGATGTAACTATGAATATTGACAGAATTTGTAATCGTGTGAGTTCGTTTTTGTTTATGGATGAATGCTTTGATGAGTTGATGTCGAGTGATCGAACATTCAAAAGACGGAATTAGTAGAATTTAGGTGTTTAGCACATCAGCGTTTAGTTCATTTTTGAGAGTTCATCGAAAGGTTTATTAGAATTCAGATTTTTTAATGATTTCCAGTGAAGAGTTGAGTATTGTAAGGAAATCTCGAGGCAAATTTGTTTGTTTGGAAATGACAAATTGTTTGTGGAATTCAGCAAGTGAGTTCAGTTTTAGGAAAAAGTAATCGATGGAGGCTTTTGAAATTCGATATATTTAGTTTTGAGAGGTGTTGATTTTGAATTTTTTTAATGGCAGCATATGCAATATGTCTTATTGTTTGTATTGTTTGCTGTGATGTCGATGTCGAATTTTTTTTTTGTCGTTTTTAATTCAAAATTTCACTCTGTCTTCATTTCGTCTCACGCTTAATTGTCTTCGATTCAGTTTCATCTGTCTTTTTTGAGTCTTTATGATTGAGGAGATCGACGATAATAAAAACGTATCTTTTGTAACGCTTTATCATGCAATCAATGATATGTTCGGGGAAATGGTTTTGATGTCAGCGTTTTTATGTTGTTAAGAAACTTCAGTTTCAGTCATCGCTGGTAAAGGGAAGCAATTTGGGAAGGACTAAGTTAATTGACATCTCAACACATACCATAACGGATTCAACCGAAATTCGGTCGGTAGAATTCAATGAACTTCGGTCGGATTAGATCAACAAATTTCGATGTTCAGTTGAAGTATCGAATTCCAAAATCTCAAAAACTGGCTTCGGTCGGATCCCCATTAAGAGCTGTAAATTTCGGGCTGAATACCGAACTCCAGATTGGTACAGAGTCGACTAGGTCATATACTGATCAAACTCAAATTTCCGTCGGTCACCGTCAGTCACTGCAGTGTGCTGAATTGAGCTTCAATTGGATGGTTCATCTATAAAAGTGCCTACAGGAAATTAAAGTAAGTGCAGTCACCCGAGAACATGTATACATTTTTGAAACTTGGAAATCTGCACGATCCGGCTGTGTGACGAAGGCGTTATGCTTCTGGAGCAAAAATATGAATAATTCTAGCTTGAATCAGTTACGACTGCTAACGGTATGGAATGATTGATCGACGCAGATATAGGTTTCTGAAATGCGCCTCAACGATGTGGCTCAATCGTACTAAGTACTTTCAGATGATCAGACATATGTTTTACATAGTTATAAATCGCTTAGTAACATGTTTGACTACATTGAAGTACAGATTCTGTAGAATCTAATTTTATGAAGATACCTGTATCACCGTGGGCAAGTCCGATGATATTGTTTGTTCGAGTGTGATGCACTTGATTTCGCTCAGGTCTTGAACATATTGAACAATATACATACAGTGTGATGGAATGAGTGTCCATGGAGTCGCTCATTTGCATGAGATGACATCAAAAATTGATTATATCTTTGAAACTGAGCTTAATCTAGCAACAACGTGCGGGCTTCTATGAAAGTAGGGAATCTGCAGGATGTATGCAGAAATCATTCTGTTTCTGAGCAAGCCTGAACAATTGGAAAGCTTTCGCTTAAATCATTAAAGATGATGCGTCCTTATATTTTTGCCTCGTTTTAATCTCAATTGATCCGTCTGTTTGTGTGGTTTGACTCACCGTCGCTGCTATTCGTTCAGACTGATCCCAACTGTAAAATCATTTGGCAGATAGCTGCAAATGAGAGGAATTGAAAAATGAGTTCAGGTATAGTTAAACGTGAAGCCGCAAGTGTGAAACATTTGCATGAAAATGGTGAATTGATATAGATCATTATATGATACTGGGATCGGCGACTTCGTGCTTAAAAAGGCAATTGATTTTTAATAGTTAGTTTGAGTGCGATGAAAATAAGCCTTTTTGTAATCACATTTCATAAAGCAGTTTTAAGAGATCTCAATTGCTCGGATCTTTTGGATTCTTTTCCTTATCAGTACCATTGAATATGGGAATCGCATAAGTTATGTGAATTCAGGTCATCATTACGTTCAGATATGGTGGTATTCGATATCGCTGGGCCTTCTGTTATACCGTTGAGTTCCTCATTGTCAGTATTACAATCGATGATGATTGCATGAAAAGCTATTGTCTATGAGACGCTCACTTCAACGTACTTTACATGAATTCTCATTCTTTTCAGACGTGTTGTATTCGCTCTCATAGCTA